TCAGATAGAGTTCAGTGTGTCAAATCGGAGGGCCTGTTGTCTGGACCTATGGCAGTCTCTATGGGGGTGCCACAGGGTTCAATTCTTGGGCCGACACTTTTCTCCGTGTATATCAATGATGTCGCTCTTGCTGCTGGTGACTCTCAGATCCAGCTCTACGCAGACGACACCATTTTGTATACATCTGGCCCTTCATTGGACACTGTGTTAACAAACCTCCAAACGAGCTTCAATGCCATACAACAATCCTTCAGTAGCCTTCAACTGCTCTTAAACACTAGTAAAACTAAATGCATGCTTTTCAATCGAACGCTGCTAGCACCCGCCCACCCGACTAGAATCACCACTCTCGACGGGTCTGACCTAGAGTATGTGGACAACTACAAATATCTAGGTGTCTGGTTAGACTGTAAACTCAACTTCCAGACTCACATAAAGAATCTCCAATCCAAAGTTAAATCTAGAATCGGCTTCCTATTTCGCAACAAAGCCTCCTTCACTCATGCTGCCAAACATGCCCTCGTAAAACTGACTATCCTACCGATCCTTGACTTCGGCGATGTCATTTACAAAATAGCCTCCAACACTCTACCCAGCAAATTGGATGTAGTCTATCACAGTGCCATCCGTTTTGTCTCCAAAGCCCCATACACTACCCACCACTGTGACCTGTACGCTCTTGTTGGCTGGTCCTCACTACATGTTCGTCGTCAAACCCACTGGCTCCAGGCCATCTATAAATCACTGCTAGGCAAATCCCTGCCTTATCTTAGCTCATTGGTCACCATAGCAGCACCCACCCGTAGTCTGCGCTCCAGCAGGTATATCTCTCTGGTCATTCCCAAAGCCAACACCTCCTTTGGCCGCCATTCCTTCCAGTTCTCTGCTGCCAATGACTGGAACGAATTGCAAAAATCTCTGAAGCTGGAGACTCTTATCTCCCTCAATAACTTTAAGCATCAGTTGTCAGAGCACCTTACCGATCACTGCACCTGTACACAGCCCATCTGAAATTAGCCCACCCAACTACCTCATCCCTATATTGTTATTTATTTTGCTCTTTTGCACCCCAGTATCTCTATTTGCACATAATCTCTTGCACATCTAGCATTCCAGTGTTAATACTATTGTAATTATTCTGCACTATAGCCTATTTATTGCCTTACCTCCATAACTTGCTACATTTGCACACACTGTATATATATTTTCTGTTGTATTTCTGACTTTATGTTTTTTTTACCCCATATGTAACTCTGTGTTGTTTTTATTGCACTACTTTGCTTTATCTTGGCCAGGTCGCAGTTGTAAATGAGAACCTGTTCTCAACTGGCTTACCTGGTTAAATAAAGGTGAAAAAAAAAAAAAAAAAAAAAAAAGGGCCTCAGTTGGGATTTGGTTTAGCCTGATCTAAGGGCCTCAGTTGGGATTTGGTTTAGCCTGATCTAAGGGCCTCAGTTGGGATTTGGTTTAGCCTGATCTAAGGGCCTCAGAAGATAACAAAAGGAGGTGAAATTGAGTCGTGAAAATTGGAATTTACATATTAAAGACATGTTGATATGCAATATTAAGATTTCTGTTGATGTTTTGCATTTGCATTTGCACATCCAAACCAGTGTACCATACATTTGCACATTAAACCAGTGTACCATACATTTGCACATCCAAACCAATGTACCATACATTTGCACATCCAAACCAATGTACTACACATTTGCACATCCAAACAAACCAGTGTACATTAAAGATACAACTGTTTACATGTATTGTTTTAGAAATATTTCTTTGGTATTCATTTAGAGTACATATTATTTTTGAAGAATGTAATGAACATCAGTTCATTACATGTTAAGCCAGGCAGATATAAAAGTCTTCATGGTATAGTGTTGTTGTCATGGTACTGATCTCAGTATTAGTGTCCTTGACTGAGCCTGCAGAGTCAAGTGCTTTGCATTCTCCTACTGAGAGGAAAACAAATCAACGAGATTCAATCTAGATTAAGGTCACACACTGCAGCTCCGAAGGTTTGGGAGACTAAAATAATAATATCTGTGACCCACTCCACAGGAAATTTTTTTGGCCCCTTTGATTAAAAAAACGTTTTTCAAATAGAGTACCAAAAGAAAAGAAAGGGCAAAGGGCCAATTTTTCCCGTTGCTGATTTTCTTTTTTAATCCCGTGGGGGGGAAAACATTTAAAAAATGAAACCTGGAAATGGTTTTTCGTCAACGGGGGGGGTTAAATTTCCCCCCCGTGGTTTGTTTCTGTTGGGGGTTTGGTTTTGCCTGATTAAGTACATTTATATGTAGGCCCCCCCTTTAGGGAGGCAGGTAAATTACTGAAACCAATGGTTTCTCTATTTTTTTCTTTCGCGTTTACTTGGGGCCCCGGGGGTGGGGCTCGGTGCGGGGGGGGGGGGTGGGGGGGGAGGGGCTGGCGGGGGCGGGGGGGGGCGAGGGGGGGGCGCCGGGAGGGGGAGCCCCGGGGCCCCCCCCCCGCCCCGGCGGCGCGGCCCGCAACTCGCGAGGAGGAGAGAAAAAAAATTTTTTTCCCTTTTTTTATCTCCCTTTCCCCCCAGAATTAAACTTTCGAGTTAATTGAATTTGTTTTTTTTTTTTTTTTTTTGGGGTTTTTTGTTTTTTTTTGTTTTTTTTCCGCAGGGAGAGTTGAGGGGGTTAAGGGTTTTTTGGGGGGGGTTGGGGACCCCCCAAATAAGAAAAAAACAAAAATCCCCCCTTTTTCCTAAAATTTAACCCCGGAATTAAAAAACCCCCAAAAAGAAGTAAAAGGCCAAAAAAGAGGGGTTGGGGGGGGGGGAGGAGGGTAAAAAATTTTGCTCCTGGAAGAAAAAAAAAGTTGGGGTTTTCAAGGTTATTTTTAATCCAACCCAATTTTTAAAAAAATTTTTTTTTTAAAACCAAAAAAAATTGGGTTTAAAAGGGGGGAAAAAAAAAAAAAAAAAAAAAAGGGGAAAAAAAAAAAAAAAAAAAAAAAAAAAAAATTTTTTTTAAGGCAAAGCTGTTTTTTGGATTGGGGTAAAAAAAAAAAATGTAAAAAAAAAAGGGAAAAAAAAAAGTCATTGTTTTTCCCAAAATTTTTTGGTTTTTTTTTTTGATTTTTCACAAAACCCCAAAACCCGGGTTTTTTTGGTTTTTTTTGTTTTGTTTGGAAACCCAAATTGGGGGGAACTAACACCCAAACTGTTGAAAAGGGGGGATTAAATTTGGGGGGCCCCTTTTTTAACCCAAAAAAACAAAGGAAAAAGATCCCCGGGGTTTTAAAAGGTTTTTGTCGGGGGGCGGATTTCCCCCATTTTAAGCCCCTCTTAAAAAAGGGAGGGGGGAAAACCCGTGGGGGAAATGCCCGAAGCAGAAGGGGGTTTGCCCGTCCCCCCGTTCGTAAAAAAAACAGGGAATTTCTGAGGAGATCTCTGCCAAACCGCTCTCTCTGGGGGGGAGGAAAAAAGAAAAATTTCTCCCCGGGATCCCCCTCCCCACCCGTTTCAGAGGGCTCAGGGGGTAAGGTTTGCCTTGCAAGGGAAAAGTGTCTCTGAGGAAACTCTTTTTGAATCTAAAACCCCAAAATGTCTTTCTTGTCGTCTTTTATTTTTTTTTTTTACCGGTTTTCGCCCCCTTTTTAAATTCCCTTTTTACCCCTATTCGGGGTTTTTTTTCTTTCTCCCTTCCACAAACCCCCCAACCTACTCACATCCCCCCCCCGTTTTCATAAATTTAAAAATTTCTTTTTAGGGCCCGTTTAAACTTCGGCGGGGAACCCGATCCCTGAAAAAGGCCCCCCCGGGGGAAAGCAGTTTAACCTTGGGGGTTGGGGTTTTTTTTCTGGGTGGGGTGTGGATAAAAACTGTTTCCCGTTTCCACCCCCCCCTTTTCCCCCCCCCGGCCTGGGGGCCCTGGAAATTTTTAAAAAAATAAGCGGGTTTGGGGGGGGCCCCAGATTTAAACCCCCAAAAAGGGTTAAAAGGGGGGTTTGGTGTTTTATTTTCCAAAAGGCCCGGGTCTCGTTTGGGGGCCTCATTGTTTTCCCAAAAGGGGGGGCAGACGGTTTTCCTTCTCAGCCCCAGTGGGCCTTGACAAACGCTTTTTGGGGATTTTTTTGGGGTTTTTGGTTTTTAATTAGAAGGGTTTTTTCTGGGCCCCGAGAGCTTTGGGTTTTCCCTTTATAATAAAAGGGAGAAAAATCAAATTTTTTTAAAAACGTTTATTTTCTTGTTTCAAATTTTACCCCCTTCACCCGATTTTATATAGTTTTGGAGCCGGTGATACTTTCCCTTTTGGTTTAGGGAAAGTTGATGGCAGGTTTTTTTCTCCCCGTTTTTGAAATTAGCTAATTTCCCCCTTTACCCAAAAAACCCTTTTTACCAAACAAATTACGCAATTTAAAAACCCGGGCAACCCCTTTTTTTTTTTTTGGGGTGTTTGCCCCAGGGAAAACCTTCACGAAACCTTTTTTTTTTTTTCATATTTCCCCCCTTTTTAGAGTTTAAATAGCAAAAAACCAATCAAAATGAAATGGTTTTTTTTTAAAACCAAAAAAATTTAAACCCCCCCCCCGAAGAGAGGAAAGGAGGAAAGAGGAAAGAAAGGACAGATGGTCCCCTGCACTAAAACATCAACAAATGAATGAAATAAAAACTTGGGGAGTGGAGGCATCTGGCAGATGGAGGAGGTAGGAAGGAAGAGTAGAGAAGAGAAAGAGAGAGACGAGAGAGCTCCGCTCCCTCTGGCGGTATCTCCACCCTCGAGTACCCCCCAGACCTCTCCTCTCTTTCCCTATCTCCTCTCTCTCTCCTCTCTCTCTCTCTCTCTCTCTCTCTCTCTCTCTCTCTAGACAGAGGCTAATGTAGCAACGCAGCAAGAAAGGAGACTGTTCTGGATTCCCCCCCCCCCCCCGCTTCTCTCTTTCTTGTTTTTGTTTGTCTGGTTTTTTAACCCCACCCCCTCCGAGCGTGTAATGACCCATCACCCCTGCCAGCCTCAGGAGAGATGCCTATACTCGAGATGGCAGTGAGCCCAGTCAAGTCCCTGTACTGGGAGGTGTTCCCCCCCATGTCCACGCACAGGGTCTACTGCACCCCTGTGTTCCATGGCGGCCTGCTGTATGTGCTGGGGGGCTGCAGTGAGACAGGCCTGCCTCTAGACACTGCCGAGGTGCTGGACATAGGGAGCCAGACATGGACCCAGCTACCTCCGCTCCCTACAGCCCGGGCGGGGGCGTCGGCAGTGGCCCTGGGCGGTCAGGTGATGGTGATGGGGGGCATGGACAGCCAGCAGAGCCCCCTGTCCTCTGTGGAGGTCTACAACCCTGACGAGGGCAAGTGGGAGAGGAGGGCCAGCCTGGGACAGCCCTCCATGGGCATTACCTCTATAGAGAAAGGTAAGAGTCCAGCTCATACGGTACTGTACGACTGCTGCAACAGGATAATATAATATCAGGTTGAGCGCCAACACTCCCAGTCTGCTAAAGTTGAATAATTTAACTAGAATAAGGTACTGAAAAAAGCTCTTCACAGCATTGTTAAAGAGATACTGCGAGATGCTACCGTATCCGTAGACTTCGTCATTGCGCTAACGCTAGTTAGCATTGGCTCGCGAAACTACCTCTAACTTCCTTCATACTGGACGCAGAGACATAAAAATGGTATCCCCAAGTTCATCTGACCCTGGGTCAGAGTAGAATTGCCAGAATCTCACAGTATCCCTTTAAGCTTTCTCAGGAGCAGATTTTGTTAAGTTCTAATTTACTAGTGTCACTAAGATCTTTAAGACTGTTGTGCAATAGTGAGGAGCTTCAGTTGTCTCAAGCTATTTGGGCTTAGAAGATTGACTCATCCTGATTAAGCAAACAGACTGGATATACAAAACCCTGTTTTCATCTCCCCGAGGCCCGATAGTTCTAAGGTTATGTATGTTTATACAGTTCAAATAACCCCTGGAGAGAGAAGATGTATGGCTGTTTAGCTCTGAGTGTTTCTCTGCAGTTTCCTGTTGCTCTCTGTTTACATTATCAGCTGCCATTCTGAGATGATGAGTACGCTACTTAGCAGACAGCTGCATCACAATGACCTTTCGTGGTCATAATACCGAGTCACATACTGGTGATAGAAAACAGCAGAATTAGTGACTATAAGGTGAAGCACTAGTGTTGTTTCCATTTGGTTTTCTGTAGGCGGTTTGGTTTTCAGTTAGTTTCTACACGGCTTTCTGAACATACTCATACTGTAAGCCTTTGTTTTTCAATAGTATCCCTGGGTAGGAGAGCGAGTGAAACCTCTGTGAACACGGGCCTTCGTCCTTCTCCACAGACATTAGATGCTGTCATGTTTAATTGGTTGTCCGTGATACACTTCGTCTTGGTTATTTCTTATTTTTTTATATATTGTGTATTTATCTTTTCTAACTTTGTAGTTTTACATTGTTATTGGTTACTGCATTGTTGGGGTTAGAGCTTGCAAGAAAGGCCTTTCACTGTACTTGTGGTTGTGACATTAAATTACATATTCAGATATTTTTATTTGAAAAGACACGTGGTTAAATATTCGAATGTATTTTAAAATACACTCTGAAAGTATTGACATGTACTCCCATGCATTTAACCCAGGTATTTGAAAGTAGTATTTGAAATAAGTATTTGAAAATACTTTCAAATAGTATACTATTTATAGGAAGTTGTTGATCCGGGCCACATTATAAAAAAAATATTCAAATACACAGAAAATAAGTACTTAAATAACTAATAATCAAATACACATGTATTTGAACCCAGGTCTGGTTAAAAGACCAAGCTAAAACATCAATTACAGTAGTGTTCTGATTGTGTTCTTCTCTATATTAGTGTCTCAGTGTTGCTTCTTATTGTGTGTCAGAACAATAATGCCTGACAGTGAGGTAGTGATGTAATGGTGTGTGTGTGTGTGTGTGTGTGTGTGTGCTGTGTGGACTGGCAGCTGTATGCTGTGTATAATAAGCTAAGCTGAGGCTCTGACCTGTACGCTAAGCTTCCCAATATGAAAAGTGGCAATGGGCTCTGAGGCCAGCCGGCCAGCCCCGCCCTCGGCCCTCCAGAACATGATGCGCAATACACAGCTGTATTCCCCCTCTAGCCCTCTTTCTCACTCCTTCACTCACACTCTCGGTCTCACAGTCAACTTGATCAAGCGAGCATTGCTGTTTCTTGACAACAACTGTGTGTATGTTTGTATTTAGATGTGTACTGTGTGTGTGTGTGTGTGTGTGTGTGTGTGTGTGTGTTGGGGGCGAAGCGCCACCCAGGAGGCAAAAGTTACAACATCGTTGTATTTAGAGTGACAGTGGTTGCGTCGCCGTGCCAACCTGTGACTACCTCCTCTTCTGTTGCTGTCAGGGCTTTGTGAAATGAACACTTATAGCTAGGGCCCTGAGTTTTGCGCAATCATGTGACATGCCTGGATTTCAACATTTATTTGAAGCTTTTTCATCAAACTGTCCCCTTTTCTTTTGATGTCAGATGGTCCAGCTCCATCCTCAGATAATCGCTTTCATGTTTGGTCTAATTCTAATTTCTGGATAAGGCTTAAAATACAGGGTAAAATCTTGCTGTGTCACATGATTGTGCAAAACACATGGCCCTACTTATAGCTAGTCCTGCATCATCTACGGTGAAGACTGGGGTTAGGCCCTGTAATTCTACACATTTTGCCATGACTAATGCCATGTTAATATGATATCTGAGTGAGAATGACTAACAAAATCAATGGGAGGGCGCCCTGGAGGTCAAGGCCCCTGGAGGTCAGGGCCCCTGGAGGTCAAGGCCCCTGGGCACGTGCCCTGCTTGCCAGGACAGTATTCGACTACAAGTTTAGATACCTGGCTAGACTAACTACCATTGAGTGACTGACATAACAAGAGAACAACTGCTGAAGCACAAACACATTTAGAAACTGCACTCTTCTTACTCTTGATAGTTGAGACCCCGACTGAGTTCCTACATTGTTATTTATTATTATTATGATTTATTTATCGTTGCCTGGAACCGGCCCTGGGCTTACGTTTTTTTTTGCAGTTTCCTTTCGTTTCCTTTCTACTAAGTATGTGCTTCATTTCTAAGATTATTCCAAACACTGGCTGTAGTCTTTTGATGAGCTGTCAGGCCTTCCCTATTGGCCGGCCTGCTACTAGCCTGATTAAAAAGCAGTTCCACAGTGCTGTCATCTCCCCAGGTTTTATTTTAACCATGTCTCAGAACTTCCTCTGGCAATTACTGCAAAGCACTTGGCTCGTTTAAATAGTTGGTTATGTCCTTGTTTGGTGGCACTAAGCTTCGGGGTCTTGCTATCTAGAGAATGTATTATGCCAAAACATTTCTAAGCAGGTAGGGTCTCAAACACTTTGTATGATATGCTAATAGGCTGTTTTTTTGGGTCGATCTGAACACATAATTTCAGTTTGGGTCGATCTGAACACATCATTTAAATTTGGGTCGATCTGAACACATATTTAAAGTTTGGGTCGATCTGAACATATTTTTTTGATGGCTTGTTTTCTATGTGTGCCACTGTTAAGTGAACAACAACAACAACAACAGCCATATACAGTGGGGAGAACAAGTATTTGATACACTGCCGATTTTGCAGGTTTTCCTACTTACAAAGCATGTAGAGGTCTGTAATTTTTATCATAGGTACACTTCAACTGTGAGAGACGGAATCTAAAACAAAAATCCAGAAAATCACATTGTATGATTTTTAAGTAATTAATTTGCATTTTATTGCATGACATAAGTATTTGATACATCAGAAAAGCAGAACTTAATATTTGGTACAGAAACCTTTGTTTGCAATTACAGAGATCATACGTTTCCTGTAGGTCTTGACCAGGTTTGCACACACTGCAGCAGGGATTTTGGCCCACTCCTCCATACAGACCTTCTCCAGATCCTTCAGGTTTCGGGGCTGTCGCTGGGCAATACGGACTTTCAGCTCCCTCCAAAGATTTTCTATTGGTTTCAGGTCTGGAGACTGGCTAGGCCACTGCAGGACCTTGAGATGCTTCTTATGGAGCCACTCCTTAGTTGCCCTGGCTGTGTGTTTCGGGTCGTTGTCATGCTGGAAGACCCAGCCACGACCCATCTTCAATGCTCTTACTGAGGGAAGGAGGTTGTTGGCCAAGATCTCGCGATACATGGCCCCGTCCATCCTCCCCTCAATACGGTGCAGTCGTCCTGTCCCCTTTGCAGAAAAGCATCCCCAAAGAATGATGTTTCCACCTCCATGCTTCACAGTTGGGATGGTGTTCTTGGGGTTGTACTCATCCTTCTTCTTCCTCCAAACACGGCGAGTGGAGTTTAGACCAACAAGCTCTATTTTTGTCTCATCAGACCACATGACCTTCTCCCATTCCTCTTCTGGATCATCCAGATGGTCATTGGCAAACTTCAGACAGGCCTGGACATGCGCTGGCTTCAGCAGGGGGACCTTGCGTGCACTGCAGGATTTTAATCCATGATGGCGTAGTGTGTTACTAATGGTTTTCTTTGAGACTGTGGTCCCAGCTCTCTTCAGGTCATTGACCAGGTCCTGCCGTGTAGTTCTGGGCTGATCCCTCACCTTCCTCATGATCATTGATGCCCCACGAGGTGAGATCTTGCATGGAGCCCCAGACCGAGGTTGATTGACCGTCATCTTGAACTTCTTCCATTTTCTAATAATTGCGCCAACAGTTGTTGCCTTCTCACCAAGCTGCTTGCCTATTGTCCTGTAGCCCATCCCAGCCTTGTGCAGGTCTACAATTTTATCCCTGATGTCCTTACACAGCTCTCTGGTCTTGGCCATTGTGGAGAGGTTGGAGTCTGTTTGATTGAGTGTGTGGACAGGTGTCTTTTATACAGGTAAGGAGTTCAAACAGGTGCAGTTAATACAGGTCTCAGCCTCCAGTATTTATGCTGCAGTAGTTTATGTGTCGGGGGGCTGGGGTTAGTTGGTTATACCTGGAGTACTTCTCCTGTCTTATCCAGTGTCCTGTGTGAATTTAAGTATGCTCTCTCTAATTCTCTCGTTCTCTCTTTCTCTCTGAGAACCTGAGCCCTAGGACCATACGTCAGGACTACCGGGCATGATGACACCTTGCTGTCCCCAGTCCGCCTGGCCTTGCTGCTATTCCAGTTTCAACTGTTCTGCCTGCGGCTACGAAACCCCTACCTGTCCCAGACCTGCTGTTTTCAACTCTTAATGATCGGCTATGAAAAGCCAACTGAGAGACCTGAGCCCTAGGACCATACGTCGGGACTACCGGCCGTGGTGACTCCTTGCTGTCCCCAGTCCGCCTGGCCTTGCTGCTATTCCAGTTTAAACTGTTCTGCCTGCGGTTATGGAACCCCTACCTGTCCCAGACCTGCTGTTTTCAAACTCTTAATGATCGGCTATGAAAAGCCAACTGAGATTTATTCCTGATTATTATTTGACCATGCTTGTCACTTATGAACATTTTTGAACATCTTGGCATGGTTCTGTTATAATCTCCACCCGGCACAGCCAGAAGAGGACTGGCCACCCCTCATAGCCTGGTTCCTCTCTAGGTTTCTTCCTAGGTTTTCGCCTTTCTAGGGAGTTTTTCCTAGCCACCGTGCTTCTACACCTGCATTACTAGCTGTTTGGGGTTTTAGGCTGGGTTTCTGTACAGCACTTCGAGATATTAGCTGATGTAAGAAGGGCTATATAAAATAAAATTGATTGATTGATTGATTGAGGTAATGAGTGGAGAACAGGAGGGCTTCTTAAAGAAAAACTAACAGGTCTGTGAGAGCCGGAATTCTTACTGGTTGGTAGGTGATCAAATACTTATGTCATGCACTAAAATGCAAATATATTACTTAAAAACCATACAATGTGATTTTCTACAGACCTCTACATGCTTTGTAAGTAGGAAAACCTGCAAAATCGGCAGTGTATCAAATACTTGTTCTCCCCACTGTACGTGAGATAGAAAATGGCATGATTTCTCTTAGACAGAGATAACTGTGTTGGCAACCCTCCAGTCTTTGTCAGATGGCAGACAGACACCACAGGACATGAAGCCACTATGGCAATGTCCCCTGGGACACTCAAGAATACAAAAGAGATTGTAATGAATTCATGTGTTGAAGGTCTTTATATCTTTCAGCCTGAAAACACCATCTCATAACTACGTTTTTAATAAGCACAGCAGGACTTTGAAGACATACTTCTTAATATGCATGCAAATACTGTCATATACACTGAGTATACAAAACATTAGTAAAACCTTTTTAATATTGAGTTGCACCCCCCCACCCCCATTTTTGCCCTCAGAACACCCCCCCCCCCCCCCCCCCCCCCCCCCCCCCCCCCCTGCGACCCCCCCCCCCTCTCTGATCTTGCTGTGAGTGTCAGTGTTTTTGATTGACCATGGGGATCAGAGGAACCTGCGCTGAATAGGAGAGCAACAGACACGGGGGCGTTTTTGGGGCTTTCAGAATTGTCCGTGTGCCTGCAGCAGTAATTGAGCCAGTTTAGGTTCTTTCACGAGTCGCCCCGGAGTTCATTATCCCTGTCCAGTAAGTAGTGTGGTGTTTGTCCTCCTCCCTTGTCCCCAGTAGTGTGGTTGTTTGTCCTCCATCCCTGTCCCAGGTAGTGTGTTTGTTTGTCCTCCCCCCCCCCCCCCCTCCCTGTCCCAGTAGGTTGTGTTTGTTTGTCCTCCTCCCTGTCCCAGGAGTGTGTTGTTTGTCCTCCATCCCTATCCCAAGAGTTGTGTTGTTTTGTCCTCCTCCCTGTGCCCAGTATGTGGTTGTTTTGTCCTCCTCCCTGTGCCCAGTAGGTGTGTTGTTTGTCCTCCTCTCTATCCCAGTAGTGTGTGTTTGTCCTCCTACCATGTGCCCAGTTAGTGTGTGTTTTGTCCTCACTCTCTATCCCAGTAGTGGGTTGTTTGTCCTCACTCCCTGTGCCCAGTAGTTGTGGGTTTGTTTGTCCTCCTCCTATCATCCTCCCTATCCCAGTAATGTGTTGTTTGTCCTCCTCCCTGGTGCCCCAGTAGTGTGTTGTTGTCCTCCTCTCTATCCCAGTAGTGTGTTGTTTGTCCCCT